AGGTCACTAAAGTTCATTCCTCCTGTAACTGAAACTGTGTGCCCTTTAACTATTTCCCTTTCCCAATTTCCCCACCCTAGCCTGTGGTAATCATCATTCTACTCTGCTTCTAGGAGTTCAACTTTCTTAGATTCCACATAAAACAAAGTCATGCAGTACTTGTCTTACTTGCTTGGCTTATTTCACTAATCATGTTGTCTTCCAACTTCATCCATGTTGTTACAAATAAGAGAATTTTTTCAAGGCTGAATAATATTCCATTGTGTGTATGACCCATATTTTCATTATCAGAAGATGGACACAGAAGTTGATTCCACATCCTGGCTTGAGAATAATGCTGAGGCAATGAACAAAAGAGTGCAGATACCTCTCTGCCATACCAATTTTCAGTCCTTTGAACATGCACCCAAAAGTGGGATTGCTGGATCATATGGTAGTGCTTTTAGCTTTTTAAGGACCTCCCATACTGTTTTCCAAGAATGGACATACAATTTACATTCCCACCAACAGTATATAGGGATTTTTGTTTTCTTGACATGCTCCAGACACTTCTATTTTTTTTACTTATTTTGTAATGCAGGGAACTGGTCCTAGAACCTCATGCACCTTAGACAGGCACTGCACTTCTTTCCCCTTTATGGTAATTATTTTCCTAAGGGTGTGAAGTAAAAATCTCATGATTTTGATTTGCATTTCCCTGATAATTAGGTGTTAAGCATTTTTTCCTATATCCGTTGGCCATCTGTATATCTTCTTTTAAGAAATGTCTGTTCAGCTCCTTTGCCCATTTCTAAATGGCTTGCTTTCTCACTACTGAATTCCTTGTATAATTTGGACATTGGTCCCTAAGTGGACATATGCCTTCAATATTTTCTCCCAATCTGGACTGTCTCTTCACTGTTGTTTCCTTTGTTGTGCAGGTTTTTTTGTTTGTTTGCAGATTTTTAAAAATTCAATCCCATATTTCTTACTTTCTTGCCTGCACTTTTAGAGGCTTATAAAGGAAACCGTTACTCATACCAGTATGTGGAACATTTCCTCTATGGTTTCTTCTAGTAGTTTTTCCAGTTCAGGTGTTACACCGAAGTTTTTAATGTATTTTGTAGATCAGTCCAAGGGGTTCACCTTCTTCCCTAGGTCTGTACCGGAGGCCCTGCCAATGTGTCCTAAATCCAGCAGGCCACATGATGATCTTAGGAAAGCACATGTGACTAAGGCTGCTAACGGAGTACAGTTCAGGGTTAGTCTGCCTGGTGAAGAGAAACCAGTCCCTCTTGAAGGATGGTGGTGCTGTGCCATTCTAGAGCCGTTGCGCTCTCTGGACTAGAGATAACCCGTTTGAGAGTGAGACCAGCACAGTAGAAAAGGGGGGCAGTGCTGAGCCCCTGGATCCAGCCATGCCTGAAGCTATTCATCTCTGGAGTCTACGAAGACAATTCCTCTTTAGATAAGGCTAGCTGGTGGGTGTTTTCTGTTGCTTAGCCTGTCTGATACCGCCCAAGAAATCTTCCTATACTACTATGTCAAAGTTAGGCTACCATCCCTTAACTATCTCATAGAATCCTGCTCCTCCATAACTGATATATAATTCCACTATTATCTGTGATTTATTAGTGTACAGTCACACCATTATCTGTGTGACCTGGTCTAAGTTCTCCCTGGACTGAGCACCCCTACCTCTGGAGGGCAGGGTGGCATCTGCCTGGTGCCCACACTCTGTGGCATGCATCATGTAGCATCTGGGGAGTGGCTGCATGGGACTGTTCTCTGGATCCCAGAGCAGAGCACGGGGCAGCTAGACACAAAGGAGAGACTGGGAGAAGCAGACGGAGACCTGTGCAGTGCAGCAACAAGGAAGTGGGCTTCCAAGCCAGAGGCCCAGTTCAAATCCCACCTGGGGATGGCCTAGGACAGGACTCTATCCCCCTTAGCTCCAGCCTTACCAGCCAGGGACTTCACAAAGCTGTTGAGGGTAAAATGAAATAACTCTAAGTACCTGACACACAGGAAATGCCTCTGCTGTGAGGAACAGGGCAACTGGACGGAGAAGGCCCACCAGTGGCCTCGGGTTCTGTTCAGAGTCAGGGCTTCTGCACAGAAGATACAGGAGCCCTGGGTGGCCAAAGACACTTTATTCAGTCCTGGAGGGCAAGCTTTCAGTCACTGGGCAGCCGAGGGCTGGCCAGGTGAGGTCGGTAGGTGTCAGGGGCTAGCAGCTGTAGGGTGAACTCGGTGATGACAGCAGTGAGTCCCCAGACACGGTGTGGTCCATGTAGGAAGACGGGCAGTGTGTAGCTGAAGTGGCCATGCCGGCAAAAGTGGGTATAACCCTGATTCTGCGTCTGCAGCAGGTGTGCCAAGGGCAGCGCAAACACCTCTTCCACCTGGGGGCAGGAGGCAGAGAGAGGGTGGACAGAGGACCAGCCTCTGTATCCTTCCCCAGTGGGTCAGCCCAGTTCCCCGGTGCCCCCCATTCACCTCCTCGGGATTGGGCCTGAGGCTCTGAGGATCCAGCTGGCCCACACCGGCAAGCACCGGAACCACGGTGGCCTTTGTCTGGGGTGGGAGAAGTGGGCAGTCAGGGAAGCATGGCTGCAGCTGGACTTTGGGGCTGCAATGGGGAGTCTCAGAGGAAGACCCTACTTGCCATCCAGAGGCTTTTGGTTCCCCAGCCCCTCCCTGCCCTTGTCCTCAGTCCATCCATGCTGACTGATTCAAGGTCCCAAATGCACTAGGCCTCTGCAGATGGATCCTCCACTTAGGATCTCTCGCCCTTCCCTTTAATGCCCTAAAATCTCCCATTTCTCATTCAAGCCCAGGGTCAATCCCTCCCTACCCTGTGAAGTTTTCCTCCATCCCTGTTCCAAGCTGAGCACAGCTGGCCCGCCCCTTCACCTGGAGCTACCTCTAGCTGTTCTCTCCCCCGGGATTGTGAGGAGATGAAGAACTGACTGGCAGGCAGGTGCCAGGGCCCTCTGCCACACTCTTTGACCCCCTGTCTCTGAGGTTCTGGTTCCCAGCCCAGGGAAGGTGCAGAGTGAGCGGTGAGGGGGGCCCGGGGGCCTGGTGGCTCACCTGGTCGTACACAGGCCTCATGATCCCCCACACGCGCTCCTTGGGCACGGCCAGGCCCAGCTCCTCCTGGGTCTCCCGCAGTGCTGTGTGCACCACGTCCTGGTCAGCAGGGTCACACTTGCCGCCTGGGAAACTGAACAGGCACAGGGCGTGTGGTCCTTGGGCTCTTGGAGACGAGGGAGTGTCAGCAGTGACAGAAGGCTAGCGACCTGCCTAGCATCAGCTTTTGCTCACAGCGCGCTGTGAGGCCTGGAGGAAGCTATGTGGTGGGGCTGGTTCACTTCCCTGAGCAACAGGGTAAGGGGAGGCCCTGGGCACTGCAGGATATAAGGGTCTGGCAGCAGGGACAAGAAGATCCTAGGGCTCAGATGCCCAGAGTCTGTCCATGGTGGCCCAATGGTGCTGACGCTGATCCTAAGATGTCAATTCCCGCTGCTGGGGTCGGAGCCAAGGCGGCCCCAAGTTCGTCCTGAGCTCTGGACTTGACTCTATAGCCGTCGGCAGGGGCCGGCGTCCTGGCTTTTCAGAGGGGGAAACAGCTCAGAGAGAGGAGCACCAAGCAGCCCGAGACAGGGAGCCCCAGGACATGGTGCCGGGGAGCGGCGGCGAGGGGGACAAGGGTCTCCGAGTCCTCGCCGCAGCCGCGCGCTGTCGGCTTCTCCCCAGACCCACTTTGCAGAGCCCGAAACTGAGGCTCGGAGGGGCTAAGTGCCTTGCCCAAAGTCCCTGCCGTCTCCGGGGCTCGGGGCCGGTGTACCTGACGTCCCCTCTGTGCCTCCCGGCCAGGCGACTGGAGCGCAGCGTATACAGCAGCGCCGGGACGCCGCGCACTAAGCACAACGGCACGAGCACCGCGGCCGCCGCGGGCCGAGTGCGGAACCGGGCCGTGGTCTCTGTCAACAGCTGCCGGCAGCGCCGCTCGCCCTCTGCGGACAGAGAGTCCAGCAGCATGTCCGCGCGGCGGGCACACCGAGGACACCAGCCGGGCCGCCCCGGCTGACGGGCCAGGGGCGCCCCTCCTGTGGGAGGGGCTGCGGAGCTGTGAAGGGGCGGGGCCTCGCGTGGAGCCGGGTGGGGCCAAGCCAGAGAGCGACGTAGGGCTGCGAGGGAGCCGGAACGGGGCGTTGCCGGGAGAGGCCTGGGCCGGAAATTTTACTCCGATGGACCGGGGCGTGGCCTCGCTAGCCGGCGGGGGCGTGGCCGGAAGGACGTGACGAGGCAGGCTGAGTTTCCGGCCGAAGCTTTGCCTTGGGGAGGATACTTGGCGCCGGTGTTGGAAGGTCAAGCTAGCGCGTTCCCTGAACGCCTGGGCCAGACGCGGCCTGGCGACCGGGCTCGGCCCTTCTGACCGCCAGGTTCGGTAGTTAGGGTACCTGGCACCCTCACCCCGCAGGCGTCCGTCCTTCGAGAGCTTCATCGGATTAGCTCCTGGATGTGCAGAGTCCGAACAAGTCGAGCTGCTAGGTGGCACTCGCTGCCCCCAGCACACCCCAGCCACAGGCTGCCCAGAACGCTTCTCTCCTTCCCTGAGTCTTGATCAGATCCTTAAATCCTTACCCCCATCCCTATCATTGGTCACTGCCTATCGTGGTTCTGCACTCGAGGACCAGATAGCCCCAGCCTTGCTCAAAGCACTTGAACTTGGAATGGCATATGCCAGCTGCCGTGCTTTGCAGTGTGACTTTGAACACGTTGCATGCCTCTTTGGGCCACAGTGTCACTCCTCATCTGGGCACACAAAGTGAGAACCCCATCTTCCCTTGTAGGGTTTAGTTCAGCTCTGCCATTTGGCTGGTGTCACCACCTTTACCATCACTGGGTTCCCAGGAATGTGGAAGCCACTCGACAGAGCTTGGTGATGAATACGGAGCTGGTTGGAGACTGTCAGGTCTAGGAGTTCCTGAGGATAGAAGTGCTCTGACCACTCATGCCAAACGGTTTAATGCTGAGGGGAAGGGAGAGGTAAAACGGTTTGGAAGAATCGCAGGAGGGGAAGCATTCTCAGTTACTGGGGTGGGAGGTGGGAGGCCTGATTCCAGTCCTGGCACTGTCCCAGCCTGGCTGTGACTGGGCAGGTAGCCTCCCTCTGGGGGCTTCTCGCTGCTTTCTTTGGGAGAAGAGGTCTCTGCAGAGCAGGGGTTGAGAAGGTGCAAAGGCTGATTCACCGGGTAAGGGTCCAGAGTAGGAGGGCTTAGGGCTTCTGCCATCACTGAGAGTCCTGCCCAGGCCGCAGGCATATGGTGGTGGACAGGAGCCCCAGCCCAGTTGGGAGGGTCAGGCCTCCCTGATTCCCATCAGCCCGGATATTGGGGATGGAGTACGGTGCTGGTCGGGTCCTTGGGATCCCAAGGTGGTTTGGGGCTCCAGGGTATGAGGCCTGGTAAGCGAGAGGCCTGGAGGTTGCTGGGGGTAGCAGGGCCTCAGGAGGAGGCAGCAGCTGTTGGTGGAGCCGGGCAGTGGTCCTGGAGGTGGAGGCTGAAGTTTTGTTGAGGTCTGAGGGAGAAAATGGTCCGAGTGGACCCAGGCCTCTGCCCACATCCTCAGCCCTCGCCCAAGACTTGCTCTGTCTCCCTCCCTGCCGTGGCGGTCCTGAGTTGCCTGTCTTGGCCTCGCTTAGCCTTTGCCCTTGCTTTCCTCTCTACCTAGAATTTCTTCCCCACCTCCCTTCCAAACTCTTCCCACTCTTCCAAGGCCCAGCTGGGGAACCATCTCCTCCAGGCAGGCAGCCCACCTGGCTCCCCCGACTTTGCTCTCAGCACCTGGTCCCTGCTTTGTTCTCTCTCCACTGAGCCTCATGTTTTCTTAGGAATCTCTGCCTCCCTGTCTGTGTGCACAGAGGTGCCCAGTGGGCTTGCTGAGCATGCTGACTCCTTCCCAACTTCCTGGAGGCCATGTAGCTCTGCCCACTATGTCTGGGCTGAGAGCTTACCTTTGTCCTGCTCTCGGGCGCTCTTCAGCAGGCAGGGACTGAGGCTGCTGTGACTCCGGGTTGGGATATGGAGCAGGGGCCGTGGAGCCACAGGCCTGAAGATGGGACAAGCAGGAAGGGGGCAGAGAGTCAAGGTGGAGAACTCAGGCCAGGGGTAGTGGTCAGAGATGGTGGAACCCCAGGATAAGGCAGAGGGTGTGACCTACAACAGGGTGAGGGATCGAGGCCGTAAGAAATGCTTGGGGTAGGGGTGGGAGGCTGGAGTTAGGGCAGCTGAGTGGAACGTCAGAGGCCAGACAGTACCAGGAGTCTGGGTCACTCTCTCTGAAGCCCTTGGCAAAAGGGTTGCTGGCGATTTTCAGCTGGGTGATCTACAGAGAGAAAGCGCAGTTATAGGCTGTCCCTGAGCCACTGAAGGGTTGTGGGGCCCACAGCCACTCTGTCCACCTGGGACCCAGATGCCTTGGCCCAGGGACTATGGAGCCAGTGGACAGGAAGGCAGGGGACGTCCAGGGGCAGGTGCCCAGGGAGACAGGAAGGGCAAGTGCCTGTGATGTATGGAGCCTAAAAGCCCCAGACCTCAGTCTCCACCCTTGTGAAATCGCCAGGCAGCTGGTGCCTCCTGAGGCCCGGCCGGACCCACCCGGTGGTTCTGATAAGCCGTCACGGCTGTGAACTGGGTCTCCGTGAAGATGAAGGACTTGAAGTTCTCCTGGGCGTAGCGCTCGCTGTCCTTGCGTGGGTCCACGAAGACCACGTGGAAGCGGGGCTGGTAGCGGTGCATGGAGTTGAGAATGATCTGCGCGAGGGGTGGAGCGTGTGCAGGGGGCGGGGCCACCACAACACCCCGCCCCCAACGCCCGTGTGAGGCCCTCTGTGCCTGAGCGGCCTTGCCTACTGTCATCCATAGTCTACCTCTCAGCTTTACCTTCAGAACTGTCCAGAACCTGACCACTCTCCCATCACTGCCTCCATGCTGCCCAGATACTGTCGCCTTTCCCAAGTTCCTCAGCTGTACCCTGACTGACTTCCCTGCCCCACCTCACCCCTCTGCCCACACAGCTCCAGTGAAGCACATCATAGGGCTCCCCTGGTCTACACTCACCCTACAGGGAGGAAAAGCCTGTCCTCACCTTGGGCAACAGGCCCTGCCCAATCAGCCCTTCTTGCTCCACTCCAGCCACATGGGGAGATGCCTTATGATTCCGCCGAGCCACTCTACAGTTGCAGGCCTCAGGGCCTTTGCACTTGCTGTCTCCTGTGCCTACAGCAGCTCCCCCCTCTCATATGCATAGATTCCCTCTCTTCCTCAGGTCACAGTTCAAATATTGCCTCATCTGCCTGTCTCCCACTCCCCTGGCTCCTGTTTCTGTTTATCATTTGTCACTCTGTGACTGAATTTACTGTCTGCTGGGCTTCTGCCTTTCCATCTGCCCTTGACCCCAGCTGTGAGCCTGGCAAAGGCAGGAATCTATGGGATGAAGGGTCAACAGGGCTATGTTCTGGCACCTACAGGCCTGGCCTGTGCCCTCCCTCTGCCCTGGGAGGAACTTTCCCCAACCACAGCCCACTGCCCACCTGCCTGGACAGTTCTGTGTGCCATCCAGCCCCAGCCAAGTGAGCTTGACCATCAGCAGTGGGCAGGGCTACTGGATGCTAAGACCCCCTGGCACCAAAGGCCAGGCCAGCGCGGGCCCTATCACCGTCGGGGCCCAGCACATCCACCCTCCGGCCAGCTCATCCCCTCCCACTGCAGCCCAGGCCTCACGTGGCCGTTGTCATCCAGGAGGTTGTTGGTCAGCTTGAGCTTGTCAAAGGACACGATCTGGCGCATCCACTGGGCACCCTTGGCCGGTGAGTCGGGGTGGAAGTGCACACGGCCGGGAGTGGCTGGGTCAGCCTTGCCCGCCACCAGCCAGGCCGAGCTGTGGAAGGCGTACCTGGGGGCAGAGGGAGGTATTGAGGGCTGCCCCACCCCTGCTAAGCCCTGCCACTACTGCTGGCCACCCCACCACTGCCCACCTGGCCTGAAGGACATCTTGCAGACGAGGAATCAAGCCTCAGAGAATACTGCCAGCTCTGAGTTCCCTGCGGCATCCCTGGCTGCCAGGAGTCAGGATAACCCCTGCTGTCCTGGGCTGGACCACTCCGCCTGTCCCAGGCCAGCCCACTACCCTGAGTTGGGTTCCCTCTCGCCAGTAGGCCCTTGCCCCATGGATCTAATTCCTAATTCCTGTTCTCAGAGCCCCAGGTCTGTCTCTACTACCCCAGCTGACCCAGACCTGTATCTCTTGTCGTCCAGTGGGATGAAGTCCATGAGCAGGGCATAGTCGGCCAGTGTGTCCATGCCCAGAATCTTCACCTGGAAGGTGGGGAACATTCTCCTGCAGGAGGGAGATGCTCAGTAGCCTGGAAGTGGCCCCAGCCCTGGCCCCTGCCCTGGCCCACTGCCCATGGCCACACCTGCCCGCTTTGGTAACAATCATCTCAGTGCCCAGCTGGTTGAATTCCTCCCATAGAGGCTTCATCTCCAGCTGAACCGTCACACCAGACACGCGTGGGTTCTTGGGGCTTTGGCCGGGGAGCTCAGCCACGGCTCGGGCCTCTGAGGAGCTGGTGCAGGGGCCTGATGCGAATGGTGTCCCCAGTGGGGACTCCCAGCTGGAGCTGCTCACAGGTAGGGAGTAGGTCTCTGAGGGCGGAAGCACACCGAGGCCAGCAGACAGGAAGGCTGGGGAGAGAGGATGTAGTGCGGGCCCCAGTGCCTGCATTACCCCAGTCATCACCAGCTGGCCCTCATTCTCAGATTGCCCCCACACGTTTCTTCCTCCAGGAAGCCCTCCCTGCCTGGCAGGCCTGTGTTCCCAGTGTTCCCCAGTCAGCATCACTTGGTGATAATAAGATTCACTTCAAAGCTTTTCCCCAGAAAGATCTTGGAGAGTGGAGGTGGGACCTATCTCATGCCCCAGGGGAAGTTTTGAGCCACCCTGTGGCTATTTGGCCTCAGGCAAATTGTTTCACTTCCTGCAGCCTCAGTTTCCACACCTGTCGCAAGGGGTTCTTTTTTTTTTTTTTTGGTTTTTCTCCGGTACCGGGAACTGAACCCACGACCTTGCGCTTGCCAGGCAGGTGCTTTGCCGCTGAGCTAAATCCCCAGCCCCTTCGCAAGGGGTTCTTAAGACCTGCCCAGCAGGGCCGATGTGAGCATTCGTGATGACACAGGCCTGGAGCACACGGGCCTTTCATAAATGACACCCGTTATAGACCATGAATATATGAGGCTGAGGGAGCGGGAAGGGGCAACTTTCCAACCTCAGCTTAAGGAGAGATGAACTGAGGGGAGACCCGCCCCAGACCTTGGAAACGGGCCCCAGTCCTGCCTGCAGAAGCCTAACAGCTTTCGTTTCCCCTCTCCTGTCCTCCCCACAGGTCCTGTCTTGATGTGCAGTCTGGACACACTCGGGCCAAAAGCTTTGCCGCCCACCAGACCACAATCAGAATCAAGATGGCTATTTAGAAAAGAAAAACAAAAACCCAACAAATTAATAAATGGTGAGGATGTGGAGAAATTGGAACCCTTAACGTGCCGTCAGTGGAAATGCAAAATGGTGCAGCTGCTGTGGAAGACGGTGCAGCAATTCCTTGAAAACTGAAGAGCCATCAGGCAGGGGAGATTGAGGCAGGAGGATGGAAAGTTTGAGGCCAGTCTGGGCAACTGAGTGACTCAAACCCTGTCGAAAAATTTTTTTAAAATAAATAAAACGGGCTGGAGATGTAGCTCAGTGGTACAGTGGGCCTGGGTTTAATTCCAGGTAGTGAAGAAGAAAAGATTACCATAGGATTGAACAGTCCCACTTCTGAGTCTCTACCCCAAAGACTGAAAGTAGGAACTGAAACAAAGATATCTGTACAGCCCTGTTCGGAGCAGCGTTATTTGCAGAAGCCAAAATGTAGACGCAACCTGTGTTCACGGGCAGATGAATGGATAAATAAGATGTGGCGCAGACATTCCGTGAAACATTAGTCACCCTTAAAAGGAGGGATGTTCTGACATGCGACATGCAGGGGTCATGAAATCATTCGTTAAGTGAAAAAGCTGGGCTGGGGGGATAGCTCAGTGGCATGGAGCCTGCCTGGCCAAGCGTGAGGTCCTGAGTTCAATTCCCGGTACAAAAAAAAAAAAAAAAAAAAAAAAAAAAGAAAAGTCAGACACAAAAGGGTAATACTGTAGGTTTCTTCTCACGAGAGGACTCAGAGAGGTCCTGAAACCCGGAAAGTAGGAGGAAATGGAGAGTTGCTCAGCAGATAAAGAGTTTCAGTTTTGTAACACACAAAGTATTCTCAAGATGACTGCACAGCAAGGTGGATGTACCCAATGCTACTAAGCTACAAGCCTAAAAATGGTTAAAATGGTCACTGTTGTTACATATATTTTACTGCAACCAGAATTTTTTTTTTTTTCTTTTTGAGACAGGGTCTTGCTATGTATGCAGTTCAGGCTGACCTTGAGCTCACCTTGTAGCCCAAGGCTGGCCTAGAACTTGGCAATGATCCTCTTGCCTTAGCCTCCCAGGTGCTGAGATTACAGGTGTGTGCCACCATGCCCGGCCACAACCAGAAATTTTAAAAGGAAAAAGAACTGAAAAATAGAGGTATTGGCTCATAGTGCCCTATGAGGGACTGAGGACCTGGTGGGACCATAGAAGCCACAGAGGCCAGGAATCAGGGCACAAGGAGTCAGGGGACAAGGCTTGCATTTCCAGCCGTCCCCAGGCTGAGTGGCTGCGAGGCATTTACATGATCATAAAATCATGGTCATCCCTGAGCAGAGGGGGGAGGTCGGGTGTTGGGCAGGTATGCGCCACGTCTTACTTATCCATTCATCTGTCCGTGAACACAGGTTGCATCTACATTTTAGCTTCTGCAAATAACGCTGCTCTGAACAGGGCTGTACAGACGCAGGGTGGAGGGAGATTCGTGGGAGCCACCTTGTCTAATGTTCCAGGAGGCAGTTCCCAGCCAAAGCTGACACTTAGCAGGTGCTTGCCGAGTGTGTGGGGTCCAGGGTTTGGGGCTATGTCCTCAGCAGCGCTGAGACCTGTGGGTGAGGGGCGGCACCTCACTGAGGCACCTGGGGTCTCTGTAGTCTGAAGAGGCCATGTCAGGTCTGAGGACTCTGGCACCGCATGGCTGGATGGCCTGACGCACCCACCAAGAAGGCTCATGGCTTCCCTGGCCTGGGAGCTTTGCAGGTGGTCGCCGGCCCCAAGTCTTCTATGGGTCTCCCTCTGCCGTGCTAGTCAATGTGTTGCTCCTCAGCACTTTCAAGAACTCTGGGGAGGGGACTGTCCTCTGCTTGAAAGCTCTAGAAGCCAGTGCAGAGCTGACAGTTTTCAGGGAAAGGGAGCACCCATCTGGAAGGGAAGTTCCAGGGTTCTTGTCCAGCCCCCATTCTGATGCTCAAGGGGCTGAGGCCAGAGAGGGTAAGAGAGAAGCACAATTCCCCCCCGCCGACGGGGCTCTCATCTCCCAGAAGTGGCAGGGCTCCCCTGCCTCTTGGTACCCCCATAATTGCAGCTGGGAGACTGCAAGCCCCTCTGAGACAACAGCCTGGGGAGCCCCTACCCCCTGCCTGCTTGCCCCTGTCCTAGTTCCCGCTCTGTCCCACCCACCGTGGAGTCTGAGCTCATCCATGAGGCCGCCTCTGCTGCCCGCACTGTACCTGCCATGGGGACAGCCTGGATGTCCACCTCCTGGAGAAAGCCTCTCAGCTGGGCCAGGGGTACAGCTGCCACTCAAGGGCCCCGCCTGCCAGGATCGGTGGCCAGGTGCTCTTGGTCCGCTTGTCCCCAGCGCCTCTGCTCAGCTCTCAGGCAAGCGCAGTCTTCGATCTCTGCAGGACTGTCCTTCCCTCCTCAATCGCCCTCTGCCCACGGCCCCTGGCTGAGGTTATCCCACCTGAGCAGGGCACCTGGTCTTCACAGGTGAGATCCTGGCTGTGGGGTTGCTGGGCCCTTCTCCAAGCCGCCTTCAGACCGCAGTGTCTGAGGCTGGGCCACCAGCTGGGCTGGTCCAGCTCCGGGGTGGGCCCGTGTGGGAGGGGGGCAGGTGGGAAGGTTCTGACGTGGCAAAGCCCCCCTCTCTCCCTCCTGTCTCCCTCCTCAGCTTCCTCCCCTCCCAGCTGAGAGCCCCCCAGCTATTCCTGATCAATGGGCCCAGGCACAGGTGGGGGTGGGGTCCCCATCTTGAGGACAAGCTGGGTGTCCACAGGGGCCCAGGCCTGGCCGGCAGGAGGGGCTGGGGCTGACGAGGCCTTAGGGAGGTTGGGAGGCAGCAGTAGCGCCGGCAGATGAGGGTTGAATGGCAGAGGCGGTGCCCTCCCTCCAAGACCAGACCCCTGGACTGCGCTGGCCAGCGGGGCCTGCAGGGCTTGTGGGTGTGATCAGGGAGGGAAGGGGTGCAGGGAACACAGGGCCGGCAACGTCAGGAGCCGATCATGGAGCCCCTAGTCCAGGTGGGAAGGAATTCAGGCCCTCTTGACAGTTCAGCCCCATGAATGGGGAAACAATGGGTGGTCCTTGGCAGTCCTTGTGCCTCAGTTTCCCTGACTAACCTCAGTGCATAATCCTTTCTGCCTGGGGTGATCCAGCCCAGCCTGGGGAGCAGTAAGCTTTCCCCCTCTGGAGCTGGGGGCAGCGTCCTGGGGTGATGATGCCCCTGTAGCCGCCACCAAGGCGTGAGTGGAGACTCTGAGTTGATCCATGTCAGAGACCTTGGGTGGACATCACTTTGTCCTCTGTCCCTCTCCAGCCTGACCGAGCACCTTCTCCAGGCTGCCCCCACCTGTCCCGAAGCCAAGCATGTGGGAGACAGGGAGGGTGCGGTGTCGCCTAAGCCAATGCCAGTCCTTTGGTTGAGGTTGAGGGTGCTATCGGACCTGTGCCAAGTGGCCCAGAGTAAGTCACCCGGCTGGACTGTCCTGGGTCAGCTCACTCCATGAGGGAGCATCCCAGGCCAGGGTGCGTGTGCTCAAGGGGGATCCCCAAGGCCAAGACTGCCTTGAGAGGGGGCTGCTGAGATGTCTGAAAAGGGTGCGCCGCAGAGGCTTAGCGCTGGAGGGGCTGCTTTCCTCTGAGCGTGAGGGGCTGCTTTCCTCTCCCTGGGCAGACCCTCGCCTCCCTGTGGCTCGGTCCCTCATCCCCCACATTGCCACTTGCTGAGCTGGGAGGATCCCACACAGAGAGAGTGGGCTGGCCCAAGGGGAAGAGAGCCGACGGTGCACAGACCCACGCCCAGTTAGGTGGGCTCTATGCAAGAGGTGCGTCCCAGCAGCTCCCAGGGGCCACCAAGGAAGTGTGACCGCGCTGCCCTGTCCCAGGACTCACAGTGTGGCAGGTGGGGAATGAGAGAGATGACGGGGGGCAGGGGATTCATCCCACTCTCGGTGGCTCCTCCTCAGCCCGGCTGGGGGTCCTCCTGCCTCCTGATATGTGTGGGCGCCCCTCATCTGTGTGGCAGAAATGTCTGCACGGATGCCTGCCCCTCCCTCCTGCCCGGCCCTTCCTGCCAGAGGCGCCTCCTGGCCCCCTGGCCTCTCATCCATCTTGCCTGCCAGCCCGTCCCTGGTGCCCCGGCATCCTTCACACCTTCTCATCTCGCCGCTCAATACCAGGAGGCAGCGGTGTAGCAGTTATGGCCGCAGGGAGATGGATGGCCAGGCAGGGGGTGCAGGGGGCTGGAGGAGCGAGGCTGTGAGGGGGTGGAGCTCTGGGCTCTGCATCCCTGGCTGTTGAGCTGCACCTCTGCCTGGCAGGCTGGGGCTCTGGCCAGCCCTCGTCCTGGCCTGCCTAGTTTGTGGATGCCCTGTAGGCACCAGGATGAGAACAGAGGGGACCCTGTGCCAGCTTCCACCCATGACACTAGTGTAGGAGGCCTGGGGATGGTGGAGGTGATGGGGGGAGCATCGGCTTCCCTCTGGGCACCTCTAGGCACCTCCTCTGGGTGGTCTGACAGCTGGACAGCTTTCTGGGTGTCCCCATGCCCTGCCTGGAGGCCTCCTGAACCACTGTGGCCTGGGACCTATTAAGTACTGAGAAATACACGTCTGGGCTGTTTGCCTAGACACACAGAGCCCCTCAGAAGAGCACCCAAGGCATTAGGGCTCCTAGAGGTGTGTGTGTGTGGGAAAATGCACACACACCACCAGGCACTCTGGGTAGGCCTGGCACGGACATACACACACATGGGCACATGTCTCTGTTCCCCCCTGCTGGCCCTCTGGCCCAGGACTGTACAGCTCAAGGCCTTCTGAGTTGTGGGTGTCTCTGGAAGCCCCTCTCCTGGGACCAGGACAGTCCTCCTCTGGGTCCTCAGTACAATATGAGATCTTTCTCTAGGCATATGTGGACAACTGCGAGCACAGAGACAGACACGCCGGTCTCAGGACACACAGCATATGTGGCTAGACCTGCCACAGACCCTGTGGTTAATCCTCCCGCCATCCATCCACTTTCTTAGCCAGAGGGGATATGCACGGCAGAGGACGTGAACCACGGACCCCGGAACATCTTCCATTTTATAACAGGAAATAGACCTGGCATTGGGTGACCTGACAAGGAGCATGGTGCACAGGTCCCTGGGCTTAGCCCTGTACCTCAGCACCCACTGTTCAGATGGGAAGGCTGAGGCCAGGCAAGTGTGACTAAATTAGTGGGCCGGAGCTGGGCTCAGCACAGGCAAGGCAGGTATTGAGACCGTGACCTTCTCTGTCTTCATGAAGGCAATGTTCTTCTCATAGTAGGCAGCCTCATTAATGAACACGGGGTACACAGTGGAGTCCCCCTCGTAGAGCACATCCTCGCCACTGAACATCTGGAAGATGGGTGCACCAGGCTGCAGGGGCTCAAAGTCCTGGTCCTGGAAGACAGCCAAGGCCAAGGTTGCTGGGCCCAAGGCGCTCTGCCTAGGCCGGGAGCAGGGCCACAACCCCAGCTAGTGGCACCCAGGAGATGCCCACCCACCCTTGTCTTCTTGGTCCATGTGACAAGGTGTCTGGTGACATGCCAACTTATTGTACATCTAGAAAGGGAGACATCAGTCCCCTTGGGAAGACGGCAGTGCTGTGGAAGTGTAGCTTAATGGTTACAAGGACAGGTATATCAGTGCTCAAAGCCTGAGCACAAATTCTTATTTGCCATCTAACCCTGAGCAAGTTATTTAACTTCTGTGTTCCTTATCCTCTTCATCTGCAAAACAGGGATAATTTCTCCTATGATTCTGAGATCTAAACTAACCAGGTTAGTCATGCTTAAAATGTGCTCGACACCTAGTACAGTACTGTCAGATGTCCCTGAATGGTGGGGTTAGTTCCAAAAAAGGAGCCGTTAGGTGAATTTGTCATTGTACACGCATCACAGAGTACAGTTGCATAAACTAAGGTGGCCACAATGTCACTGAAATGTTGCGCATGTGACTCGTTGTTACCCTGTGGGTTTTTTTTTTTTTTTTAGTATTGGAAATTGAACTCAGGGCCTTCTCACTAAGCTACATTCACAGTCTTTTTATTCTTCTTCTTTTTTTTTTTTTTGGTACTGGAAATTGAACTCATGACCTCAGGCTTGCCAGGCAAACGCTTATTCCACCGAGGTATATCCCTGGCCCTTATTCTTATTCTTCATTTTGAGACGGAATTTTGTTAAATTGCCCAGGCTGGCCTTGAAATTTTGATCCTCCTGCCTCATTCCCCGAATAGCTGAGATTACAGGTGTGGCCCACCACACCCACTACGTGATTGTACTTTTTAAAGTAAACGACCTAAAATGACCACTAACGTCTGCAAAGTAGATGGGTAGGGCTGGCTTAAGACTGTCCACACTCAAACACTGAAAGGATGTGTCCCTACCCCAGAATGTCATTCTGAGTATGATCTCCTCAAAATAAAACTTGAAGGCTAGGGAACTGCGCAAGACCCTGTTCAACAGGGCCCCTGGTGTGGCAGCAAACACAACAGCATCTGGCAGCCGCCAGGTCTCAGCCGTTGACCCTCTGCCCCGTGGAGGAGGATTTCTCATCCTGGACATTCGGGAAGGGAAGGCAGGGAGGGGCGTGCTGGACTATGGCTCACAGGCATAGGGACACTCAGGGAGGGACCGGAAACTAGAGGGGCTTCTGTCTCTGAAGGTGGATTGGGCGGGGCCTACCCCACACGTCCTCCCTCCTCTGCTGCTGCCCCCAGCCCTCCAACACTCCCGTGAGGGTTGCTGTGGCCCCCAGTGTTGGGCCTGTGTTTGGGGTCCCAAGGCAGACAAGAAGGGGTCTGGAGCCGGCCCCCTATTCTGCTCTGGGTTCTGAGGCCTGAGGACCTCTGAGAGGCCTGGTCCCTCCCTCTGGGCCTCCTTTCCCTGACACCCCCAGGAGGAGGCCTCAGAACCTCTCCACCCCTATGCACCTGGAGCTGGGGATGCACCATGCCAGCCAGGTCCCCGTCCTCTGTGTGTGGAAAGTCCGTGCAGCTCAGGAATCTGTAGACTTCCATCTCAAAGGCCGGAAAGGCTGTGCCTATGTGGGAGGCCAAGGTGACAGCCCTTGCCTCCCTTAGGGCTCTGGGAGCCAGCTCTCCCCTCTGGACCTCAGCTTCCCAGCCTTGGGGTCTCACCCTGGTTGAAGAGCTCAATGAGGTCCAGAGTAGAGGCCACCAGGGATCTCATCCTGGAGAAAAGGTTGGCCTGCAGCACGCCCTGAGGCTGGGGGCCCAGCTCTATGGCTGGGGACAGTGAAGGAAGAGGTCATATACGTATCCCAGGGGTTTGCAAGCCCCAGGTTGAGACCCTCGCTCTGGGAGGCTCCGCCCCCCGGTCCCTGCCACATCCCCTGGCCCTTGGCCACGGCCCTGCTCCCTTCATCCGGACCCACCCACTTCCCCAGAGCCCACAGCCCACTCATTCCGTGTTTGGCCACTGAGTCAATGCTGAATGTTTCCTCCTGGGACAACTTGAATACCACAACCCGGGGGCGCGGCTCCGAATGCTGCAGCTGGGGGTGGAAGAGGCAGATCAGGGACCCAGGCCTACTTGGGAAGGGAAACTGAGGCAGAGCAGAGTAGCATGAGGCACTACCTGCTCTGGCCCAGCCCAGGACCTGGAGTACCTGGGGGTGGCAGCTGTGGGACTGCCCTGCAGGGGAAATTAACCCAGGGAGAGGGGCCAGTGCGGCCTGGGCTCCGTCCCCTCTTCCTTCTTCCCCACCTGCCCTCTCTCTCTGCCCTCTGGGGATTGCATGAGGCTGGAGCCACCTGTAGGCGGTGGCACAGGTGCATGGCAAAGATGTCTGTGACGTTCAAAATGAAGCAGGTGCCCATGTTGGCGGTGGTGTTGTGCAGATCGAGGAGAAAGTCGAAGGCCTGGCTGGAGTTTTTGGGCCCCAGCAGCTGGTTCAGCTCCCGGGCTCTTGTGACCTCGTAGGGTTCATCTGGGGTGGGCTTGGAACTGTGGGGCAGGAGGGGGGATACAGCCCCGTAGGCACAATCAGTGCGGCGGTTCGACTGGGGAAGGGACTCGTGCAGCTGGCAGGAGATGCCTAGCGCAGCCGGGGGCTCCCCCTCCACCCGTGCCTGGGCCCTCCTTGGCTCCCTGCTTCCCCGTGAAGCGCCAGCCCTGGGTTGGGCCTACCACCCACCCTTCAGCCTCCGCTTGCTCTCACACCACGCACTTCTTTCAAGCACCATGCTTGTCACACTGCCAGGCTTCGCCTGTGCTGCGAACCTGGAAATTCATTCTCTCTTCTCTTCACCTGCCTGACTTGTACTCACTTTCTGGGACTTGGCTGAATCTCCCCTGGCTGCTGATGGCCTTGCAACAGGCCGTGCAGGCCTTCCCCATCCCTTCACTTAGCCTCCTGTGCTGTGATTGCTGAGCGCTTCTCCAGGTTGCCCAAAAAGCTCAGGCCAACACCTTGGTGCTATCTGCCATTGTCTCTCTCACCTACCAGCCGGGGCCTGACCTGGAGGTGGGGCCCCGTGAGTGCCCCGCTGAAGGAGGCCTGGGCAGTGCCTGGAGTGCAACGCCCCTAAACACAGCTGATCTGAGGGCAGGATGGCGTCTGAGAAACCCAGAGGGCCCTTGAGCCAGCCTGCAGTCAAGGAGGGCATCCTAGAGGAGGCCACATTGATCTGGGCCTCTCTAAAGTGAAAAGGGAGGGCCAGGCAGCACAGGCAGAGAGGAAGGGGAGCAGAGGCAAGGGAGTACCCTGCTGGCAGCTGGAGTAGTGGCACTCACGTAAGGAAGGTGTTGGTGAAGGTGCGATTGAGGTCACGGCCTATGTGGCGGCGACAGACGGCGGTGGCTGCTGGGTTGGCCAGCACGGGTACAGCAGAGAAGCTGGGTCTCTGCAGCTCCCCTGGGGCCCGCAGCCAGTGCCGGGCCAGGTAGACACCAGACATCTCGTTGCCATGGGTGCCCCCGGTCACAGCCACACGGCACAGGGGCTCCAGGGGTATGGGCAGCGAGCACATCCCCCTGCGAGGCGGGACACCTGGTGGGTGGGCAGACATAGGAGACCGGGCACAGGCACAGGCTCAGTGCCCACAGCGGGGTCAGTAGTAGTGAGCTGTCCAGGGCCTGAGGAATCCAAGCTGGGCAGGGCAGCTGTTTGCCCAGAGGTGTAGCTGGCTTCAGCTGTGTCTCATCTGTACTCCAGAGGCGCAGCTAAGGGCACCCTCAGCCTAAAATGTGTCCTGCTGGTGCCTGAAGTGCCTCCTTTGGAACCTTCCTTGAGGGTGGGCATTGCCCTTCCTCTCCTGCTCTGGGGAGACAGCTTTCTACTCCTTTTAGAGAGAAGCCTAAAGGAGCCCAGACATTCAAGGGCATGGACGTGGATTGGTTGAGACACGCCTTCCTCGGAGGACGACTGTGCTCATTTTACAGGTGGGAAAGTTGAGGCCAACATAAGGAGTGGAGGGCACCACACCTGTTAGCTGCAGCATGTCTGGGCTTCGGGCGATCCCTGCACCCTCCAGCCATCCCTTGTGCTTCTCTGAGCTGGCACAGGGGCCTTTGGGAAGAGGCTTCTTACCTGCCAGTGAGGATCAGGGCTCCCCAGGTCACCAGGGCTGGAATGTCGCCCCTAGGCACGCAGTATTTATGTGGCCAAGATCACCAGGCAGGAAGAGTTTTGCTGAGCTGGAGGACAGCAAGGGGTAGGCGGTGTGGGCTGAGGTCCATGTGGCCAAAGGTCACAGTGCTGGGGTTCCCCCCACACCCAAGCTCCACCCCATGTGCCTCAGCCTGAATGGTTCAGAGAGATTCCTGTCCTTGCCTTCTGTTCTTCCTCCGGGAACTGGGCCAGCCCTGCCTCCGAGGCCAGCCAGGACTCCTGCTGGGAGCTGCACATGGCCTTGGAGAATTACTTGCCAGAATTTCTTTAAGGTCTGGACAACAACCTTCCCAGGAGGCTCTGGCTCGCTGACTGCCAGGTCAGAGGCCACTGCACAGTGTGCAGTCAAGGGTGACATCTAGGGCCTGGCCCAGGAGCCACTAGCTGGCAGCTGGGTCCTCACAGAGAGGTGCCTTCCGAGCTGCTAGAGGTGGGCCAGCTGTGGGGCAGTGACTTGGTTTTGGCCACCTCACCACACCATGAAAGTTCCTATCCAGGTATGGGCCACCAGATGAGGAGCACCCCCCAACTCAGCCATCACCTTAGGCCTTGCAACTTCCACAAGGCTAGGGTCACCCTCATCCTAAAGGCTGTGCCCTTCTCAGCTCTGAGTTTTGTGGTTCTCTGATGCTTTAAACAAAACTTCAGTGCTGGGGATTTAGCTCAGCAGCACAGTGCCTGCCTGGCGAGCACAAGGTTGTGAGTTTGAGTCCCGGCACCAGAAAAAAAAAAAAAAAAACTAAACAAAACTTCATATACCTATAATTCCAGCATTCAAGAGACCAAGGCAGGAGGATGGCAAGTTCAAGGACAGCCTGGACTGCAAAGCAAGACCCTATCTCAAAAAAACAAAAACTTCAAAATATTACACCCAATACTTTTAGTCATTTTTCAAAGAGAGTATAGCTGAAATTACTCCATTTTTCTATTTTAGGAAATGACCCACAGACCCATTTTACAGATGTGGAAGTTGAGGCTCAGACAAAATGCACACAGGCACAGCGTACTGGAGGGCTGGGATTAGAAGCCAGCATGTCTAGTCTGACCTCATCTTCTCCCTGCTGGCTCCCAAGGGGCAAGGGGAAAGGACCAAAGGAGAGTTCCCTGCACCCAGCCCACATGCCTGTCCCTCCATCCTCTTCAGCTGTGGCATGAACCTAAGGGTCCAGAGGTCATTGGGCAAAAAGCTAGACCAGCCTGGTTACCCATTGCCTCTTGGGCCCGGGTGCTGGGCCCCAGGACTGAGACTCCCCGGGCATCAGGTCCCAGACCTGCTTCATCTCAGACTTGGGCCTCACTAGAGACAGGCCGGCAGCCAGCCCAGGGCTCTGCGCTCCTCTGGTTTCCCCCTCCCTGCAGCTGCTCAGATCACACTCAGCTCTGTGTGTGGCCTGCGCTTGCCCTTTGCTCTCTGCCCAGCACCGCAGGCTCCCTAAGCTCAGCGTGAGGATTGTGGGGCCTGTGACTTGTCCTTGCTCCACCAGGGAAGCTGCACCTTCCTAGGGTATCCAGGAGCAGGTGGAAACCTCTGTGAAGGGCCCTTATGAAGCTTCCAGCAGCAGCCACAGTGGCAGCAGCCCTGCAGGCAGCCGGCTGAGGCTCTAGGAGATAGAATGACTTGGGGGAGACATTGCCCTGCAAGTGCCAGGCAGGACCAGGTTCAGGAGTGAATCAGTAGATAAGCCAGCTGCTTCCGGCCACCTCCTTCTCTGCTTGGGCCCTGCTATTTGACTCTGAAAGCTTGGTCTTTATCCTGACGGCCTACACAGGCTGCTGAGACCCTGCTGACTCATTTGGGGCCTCTGGGGAAAGAACCGCCTGCCTAGTACACTTGGCTATTTTGGAGGTTGCTGGGGACCACCAGCACTTCCTGCTACCAGGTGCTGGACCCCCCATGTCTGAGGAGGGCAATGGGACTGGAAGGTTTCAGGTCCCTGGGCTGGAGTCAAGCTTCCCCGTTTCAGTGGGTGTTTGCAGAACGGAAGGGGCTTCCCTTGGCTCTAACTCACCCACACCTACATGTGGGGCTCGGAGGTCTCTCGGTGGTCCCTGGGTGGTCCCCTCAGCAAGAGGATTTAGAAAATAAAGACAAAAGACAATAGCCGGGGTCAGGTGGAGTTACCTCTTGCCTGATGAGCATGAGGAAGGACTTCAACAATAGGGGCGTTTATTTATACCCCTGAGAGGTTGGTTAATTTCCCCCTAGCTGCCCAGCGATCAGTTAACAAGTTACAACTGCTTGTTTACGTGCCCTTCAAAGAGCTGCCGTGTTCTCCGGCTGACTTCATCCTGCACGTGTAATTATTTTCCAGTTTCAGTGGCTCCCAACACCTACAGGCTGCATGGCCTGGAGAGAGTCGGCGCCCTCTCTGGGCCTCAGCTCCTGCCTGGGAAACGGGTGAGGCTGTCCAAGCCTCCACAGCCTCCGCAGCGGTAAACAGCAGTGAGCAAGGGGCAGGGAGAGCACCCTGCGGTGGGTGCAGGCTCAGGACAGTGACACCTGGGATATCAGTGGGTGCGACATCTTCATTCAGTCTGGGAAACCGGGGCTCAGAAGAGGGTCAGAACCTCAGCCAACCCCACATTTGTAAAGCTTGATTCAAGAGGACTTGTGGCCTGAGAGCCACTCCCATGGGTTACTGGTTCAGTGGCTGTGGTGCCTCTTGCCCACTGTCCACTCTGTGGGCCAGGTTCAGACTCTGCTTGGTCCTGGCCCATTGCCTCTGTCCGGCCTTTCTTTCCACGTCACTGAGGGTGCTGTCTTCACCCAGGTACCTGAAGCCTCACCCCATGTCCCTGGTCTGCTGAGGACTCCAGCCCTCTGGACACCCGTCTGAGAAATGACACCGGATGTCATCCACTGGCTTCTCTGTGTCACCTCTAACTGGGCAACCCTGCTTGGGTGTGGGTCCTTCTCCATCTGCCCCATCTGCAGTGCCTCTCATCTACCTGCGGGGGGCTCCCAAGTTCACATCCCAGACCCAGGGGCTCCAGCGGCTGCTCACCAACCTCCTTTCCTGAGGGCGGCTGACACCAAGTCCCAAAGCTAACTCGAAGATGCAGGGGGACCCAGGGTTGCAGGGCCTATCTTGCAGGGCCTTGTGGCCCTTACCAAGGGCTTGGTCCTGAGGAACCATTTAAAGGTCTGGGGCTTTCTCCGAAGGTGCTCTGCCACTGTATGGAATCCAATCCTGGGCAGCCAGCCAAGAGGCGACAGCAGGTGAAGAGTGGTGGCTCTGCCTCGGCTGAGAAGCGGCCTCATTCAGGAGATGCTGCCCACTGCAGACGTCATGGAGGGGACAGAGCAGGCTGATGATTTGGCATATGGGGGCTGGGATACTGGGAAGGTCCTGGGGCAGGGCATGGGGACAGGGAGAGAGAGGGACTTCAACCCACAGCACTCTGGCAGGAGGGATGCCTCTTTGAATCCTCGGGAGCACGCTGAAAAACCTCTGAGGTTCACTGCAGGGCCACCAGGAACGACCCAGGGGTCACCTGCTGTATGCTGACCTCCCCCCCCATGTTTCCCAGTAAGTCGGCTCTCACTCAGCTCTGTCCTGCTTTCCCAAGTAAACTTAGCTCAACCCTGTCCTGCTTTCAGACCTCAGTTTCCCCGTATGTCAGAGAAGGTCATCAGTGTTAGATTCTGCCAGCCCAGGCCACCTGCTGGGAGCTGAGAGCAGGGAGGACAGGTGAGGCCACCACTGCACCTCCCTTGCGCGTGCCCCCTGCAGACATCGTGAGTGAGTCGGGCACTCCTTCCCCTTGGTCCCACACACAGCCTCATGCTTGTCGACGACACCCTAGGCAGATCCCACCATCAGCCAGATCTAGAGTTCAGATCAGATGATGTTTCAGGTCAGGTATACCCCTCCCCAGGTATGTATGGAGCTGGCAGCAATTTCTCTGCCTCTTGGGATCCTATTTATACATTTATTTATAGAGTCTTCTCTAGCCACAGAAACTTCCAAGCTTAGAGGCACAGAGGTTCCCCATCATCAGATCTATCTAAGCAGAGGGACAGAAGGCTGTAAAGGGGACTTTGGTATAGGAAGGGCCTGGACCAGCCACCCAGAAGTCCTGCCTAGCTGGAGATCTGGTCAGAAAAAGTCCCTGGAGTGCAGTCTTCATGGCCTGGGCTGGACACCTGTCTTTCAGGGACCACTGGGCAGGTGGGCAGCAGCTGACAGCGCAGGGTGGGTCAGGGGCTTGGCGGTCATCAGCAGCAGGTGGCAGGGGCCCTTGGTGGGTGCTGGGGATGGGCTGCTCTCACAGAAGGGTGCAGCTGTGGGAGCTCATGGCCCATCTCAGCAGCTTCTGGGCCCGAGAACTATAGGGTGGGTAGCGGATCTCATTGAGCTTCTCCAGGCCCGAGGGAGAGAGTAGGCAAGCGCGGTGGTTGGAGAAGGTGTCGAAGGAGAACTTGCCGTGGTACCTGCCCATTCCACTTTTGCCTGTGCGGGCACAGGAAGTGAGGGTCTAAGGCAAGGATTCTGTCCGGCCCCACACCAGCCCCAGCTGCAGCCCACAGCTGGCAGTGATCTTAAGGAGCCGGGCAATTCTACAAAGCATTTTACAGATAGGGAAACCGAGGCCTTGAGAGGCTCAAAGGCTCAAAGTCGAACAGCGAGTGAAAAGCCTCGCAGATCTGAGCCAGGGGGAATGGGTGGGGAGTTGGACAGTAAGGGAAGGCAGGGACTCACCGACTCCTCCAAATGGCAGGGAAGGCAGAGTCATGTACAGGAAGCCATCGTTGCCTCCAAAGTTGCCGCTGCTGGTCCGGTCCAGCACCTGGTTCACTACCTGGGGAAATGGGGGAGGCATGGAAGTGGGCCGGTCATCGGAGAGGAAGGCTGGAGACTGATCCTCTCACAGGGGAGCAGAAGAGCCACCACCGCTCCAGTGCTCCCCCTGGGCAACCTCCACTGCACAATCCCCTCCCCTCTACGCACGCGGGAAGAGGTGATGCCTTCTCGGGATGGTTCAGGTAGGGTGTGGGTACTACAAGCAGGGCACAAACACAGAGGAAATCCTGCAGCGCCAAGCGGAGCGTGTGACTACGAGGCCCAGCGGTATGGCTGGGACACTGCAGGAAAGTGCACAGGCCTCCCTGTGACCAGCCTCCAACCCCATTTGGGCTCTCTGCTCACCGTGGAGGATCTTTGCACTACAGGAAAAGGAGGGTCCCTAGAGCACTTCTTCCTGCAGAGGGAGCCCACCTGGGCTAGGACACGCAGCTGGCCAGCCTTGCCCAAAGCCCTCTGCTGGGCAGCCTTGTGCAGGACACAGTGGTACCCAGCGGTAGCAGGATCAAAAGCACCCTTGAGATGACTGCTGTCCTAAAGTCCATCCCCTCACAGAAGGCTATAAAAGGGGATCTGGCCAGTCTGTACCCATTTGGGCCCTTCTGTCACCCCGGTCCACTGGGCCCCACCTGGCTGTTGTTAGAGAAGGCGTACAGGGCCAGCGGCTTCTCCCGACGGTTGATGAAGTCAATGGCCTCGTCCAGGCTCCTCACAGTCATCAGGGGCAGGATGGGCCCAAAGATCTCCTCCTGCATCACCTTCTCCTTCTCCTGCACGTCCACCAGCACTGTGGGTGCTGTGGGCACAGGGGCGGCTCAGCCTTGTGGAGTAACCAGGACGACCCCTAGGGGCAGGACCAGGACTGGACTCCAGGCTAGAGAGTCCAAAGGTTTGACCTCCCAGGATACCAGGCTCGCTGGATCTAAGGATCTGGGTCCTTCCCTCAAGGGACAGCAGATGATGAGACAGAGGTCATTTAAATAACACTCTGGGCCCCCAGAACTGGGACCTGAGCTCAACAGATCCAAGCTGTGGGACTGGAGTTTAGAATTAGGGGGCCGCAGGCTCAGAACCACAGCAGTCTGGAGCATTCATGCTCTGGAATCAGGAGGGGGCTCACCGATGTAGAGACTGTTCTCATCACTCTGACCACCAAAGGCCACACGGCCACAGCTCAGCAGTTCGTGGAGCCGCTTGAAATGTTTCTGGCTGATGATGCGGCCCAGGTTGGGGGAGTTCTGGGGGTCCTCGCCATAGAAACGAGTGATGGTGTTCTGCAGGGCAGGCACCAGCCGCTCCTGCATCTCTGGGCTGCACAGGACATAATCAGGAGCCACGCAGGTCTGACCCGTGTTGAAGTAGCGGAACCAAGCCAGGCGGTTGGCCACAGTCTGGGGGTCACAGTTGTCGTCCACATAGCAGGGGTTCTTGCCCCCCAGCTCCAGGGTGATGGGCGTCAGGTGCTTGGCAGCAGATTGGTAGATAATCTTGCCTACACGAGGGCTCCCTGGAGATGTGGTCAAAAGACCCATGCTCAATTGGCTAGATCAGTGATGGCGAACCTATGTCACGCGTGTCGCGGTGGGCTCTTTGTATCACTGAAAGCTCTAAAAGGTTTGCCATCACTGGGCTAGATGGTCCAGGCACATGGCTGTTGCCCCTCTCTTTCCACAAGGCCCTTCATGGCCTAGCTCCAGGCCTAAGCCATCCACTGGATCTGTCTTCAGTCCAGTCATCCCTGGGTCCAATTTCTCCAAGATTCCCAGGGGCCATGGTCAGCCTGCCTACTAATTGCTCTTGGGACACCTCTAACTCTTGATTTGTTCCTTATGCCCAACTACAGCCTCCTCCCTCCAATTCCTTCCCACCCTTTCCTGTGCTGTCCCCTGCCCCGGGACCCTGGCCAGTACCACTCTCACCTGTGAAGAGGATGTAGTCAAATTTGTGCTCCAGCAACTTCTGGGTCTCCTCAGGCCCACCCAGCGCCACGGCAAAGGAGCTCTGCAAGACAGATAGGAAGCTCAGGGGGCAGGTTCAGGGCACAGGAATGTCCCAGCCAGCAGGGGCAGGGCTATAGGGATGGTGGGTGTCAAAGGGGCAGGGTACCCTCACCTGGTCCAGGTACTGGGGCAGCACCTCGGCCAGCACCTTCTCTGTCCCCTTGCTTATTTCTGATGGCTTCAGTATCACGCAGTTCCCTGCAGGGACAATGGGGCACCAGTGGGGGAGACCGGTGCTTGCATACTCTCCAGGGGCTACACTCAGACAGCACTGAAACATGTGGGACTCCAGGGCCCTCTTTGCACAGGGCTGTTGGGCTGGGAGGGCATAGGGCCTGGGAGCCTGGGACCCTCTCCTCACCTGCTGCAATGGCCCCCACCAGGGGCACCAGGGTCAGGTTCACTGGGTAGTTCCAGGGGCCAATGATGAGCACCAGGCCAAAGGGCTCCTTTCGGGTGAAGGCACTGTCCAGCTTTGTGAGCTGGAGTGCAGGAAGGACCATGAGACCCTGCCAAGGACTACCCCAAGCCCCACCCACCCTATACTGAGGTCCTCAGCTCCCTGGGCAATGGGGTCCCTGGAGAAAAGACTGATTCTCCCTCGTGTCAGGAGCAGCAAGGAGCCTGAGCCAAGCTGGCCCAGTCTACCACCTCCTATTACCACTCCCTGGCCAGTGGGGCTCACCAAGTTCGTGCTTGCTGGTGTGTCTTTCATCCAGGCCTGCAGGTTCTTGAGGGCCAGGTCCACCTCATTCTGGCACAGAATAATCTCAGATATGTCTGACTCAAAGGGTGACTGTAGAGGAGGTGGAATGGGAGGTCAGGCTTGTAGCTGGCCAGAGGTCCAGTGTGTGGGGAGGGCACCAGTGGGTCTCACTGGCAGCACAGTGGTCCCATGCGAAACGTGGAGGGCTGGGAACCTGGATTCTGGCTGCCTGGGCTCCAGTTCCACTTGTGACCTTGGTCAAGTGAGTGCCCCAGCTTCCCAAGTGCTTATAGCCTGGGAACAGCAATCGAGCCTCTCTCACAGGGTGGCTGTGCATGCTCCTGAGCTCATTGTAATGTGCCTGTGAGCACTGCCTGGTAGGGAAGGGTCTGTTACAAAACAGGAATAAGTTTGGAAACAGTCAGTCATGTCAAGGCACAAACACCTTCCTTAGGAGGACAGGGATGTTACCGAGGGTGTGGCCCTGGTTTAGAAAGGACACAGTAGCTCCTGTCTGGGCAAACCCCCACCACCACCTCAGTCACCTTCCGCAGGTCCTGGACCAGTGCTTCCTGCAGCAGCTGCTGCTTTTCCCGGAGGAAGCGGCCCAGGCCCTCCAGCTGTGCCACCCGGAATGCGGCCGGCCGTGTCCGCCCCGAGTTGAAGGTCTCCCGCAGCCGCTGCACTGTATCCTTGAAGGGGTCCGTCCTGCTGGACAGGTGGCATGAGTTGGGTGTTTGGGGCTGCCCCCACCTTTGAGGACACCATCCACCCACCTCAGCAGCCCTGCATCTGGCAACCTCCCTTGGCTCACAGACCCTGTCTAACACAGGGCCCTGCCAGTCACCCCACGATGGACACCACTATGAAGAAGCCCCGAGCAAGACTTAAATTAACCAACTGGTTTTTTATGTTTACTTGTGAATCTGTCCAAAGCCTAGGCTGCTTGTCAGGAAGTGGGCTGTGGACTCATAGTAAGTGAACCTCTGTGAGTCACTGATCCCTACTAAGGCCTATAATGGTGGATGAAGCTGGAAAGCCTCAAAAGATAAGACAAGATCACAGCCAAGGACACCTGGATCCAATCTCAACTAGATAAAGACTATAGCCACAGGCATTTCACTCCTGGGTGGATTAACTTAATCCTTAGTAAGGATTAACTTACTACCTTACTTGGAGAAGTCTCTGAGTGGTTCTGCCCTTCTTGAGTACTCCTCCCCTTTCTTCTGATAACCAGATAAATAGGGGCCACCCAGAGAAGGTCTTGGTCTTATCCCTGAGAGAATCTCAAATTCGGTGAGAGGGCTTTGATCCTCCTGGAGCCCTGAAATCATTCCATTTTCCTCTTTTTATTTAGCATTTGCTGTGCACTCATTTGGGAGATTGTGGACCTGATCAGCCCACAATAACTGAGGGATATTATTAACCCAATAACCCCACAGAATGGTGTGTGAATGCTGTGTGTGTCTGTGAGCATCTGAATGTCTGGCTGTGCATCTTCTGCTGTCTTCCATGTGTGTCCATGGGTACATATGAGTGTATATAGGGAGCATGAATATCTATGTGTGTCCCTGTGTTTGTGTGTATGTGTTTCTATGTCTGTCCCTTGTGCCTGTGTGTGTATGAGTGTGCCTTTATGGGTATGGCTCTGTGGATGAGTGCAGATGTGTGTCTGTGTGGATGGCTGTCTGTGTGTGTGTGTGTGTGTGTGTGTGTACGTGTGTGTGTGTCTGTGTCTATGTATCTCAGGGCAGGTCTGTCTCTGTGTGTTTGGTGGGTGTCCCTGTGTGAGTCTGTGTCTGTATGTGGGCTGAGCTGTCTGGGACTCTTGCCTCAGAGTCCTGCCCACAGCAGTGCAGGGGGTGAGAGGGACCAGCATCAGCACCTGTGCCCTCCCATGGCCTTGGCAAGTCACTGTCTAGCCATAGAAGCCATAGAGCCTTCAAGCCAACTGCTGCAGTCCCTGATCTTAGTAAGACTGTGCCAGCTGAGGATTCAGGTACTGGGCAGTCCCCAGCCAACCTGCAGACACCTGCCCTTCCCATGGCAGCTGGGCCATCAGTCCAGCACAGGGGAGGACGTAGCAGTGCCTTTCCTGCAGCCAGGTGTCAGGCGGGCACCCTGAAGGACCAGGAGCCTTTGTGAGCCTGAATGTCTCAGGGGTCTGGGGTGAGCTGAGCACCTCAGAGGTCCTGGTGTCTGACCCAGAACCCGTTCCTAGTGTGCACCTTTACCAGCTGAAGCAGGTTACACCACCTGTGTTCTCCCTGTGCACACCTGGTGCTTGGTAAAATAACTGAGCTGCCAGCAGTGTCTGACAGGCAGGAGCTGAGGTCCCTAAAATTCCCATGGGCTGGGCCTGGACAGCAGTTCCTTTCTCAGCCCCACTGCAGGAAAAAAGCACCCAGGGTTCCTTGGGCCAGGGGCTGGCTAGGGATACACAGACAACCACCCCAGACTCTACCAGCTCTCCCTGAATGCTGATGTGCTGCATTGCTTAATAAGACACATGCTGAGAAAGGCATTAAGGCAGTTTTGTCCTGGTGTCAGCAGCACGGCATGTCCTTACACAGACCAAGATGATACAGGCTCCCGCACAACTAGCTGTGTTCTAATCTTGTGGGCTCGTGGATATACGCAGTGGAAACCTCAATGATACCATGGTACACAACTATAACTACAGGCGGGCTCTGTGTACCGCAGGTTCCTTGCAGAGCCTGGCCAGAGACCCAGGAGCCAATGGCAGTAGAGAGGCAGGGAGGGCATTCAGGATGCGGGGCCTGCACACGCAAAGGCCCCGCAGGGGCTGATTTTGAGAAACTAGATGCAGCTGGGCTGATCTACAGCCCAGGGGAACCGGCAGTTTCCCATGGGGAAGGAGAACAGCTTGGAACAAAGGCTGGAGGGCAAGCAGCCATTTGGAGCTGAAGTGTTGTTTTTCTTTTTTCTTTTTTCCAAGCATCACTTTGTTTAAATCTCACAGGATGAGGAAACTGTCACTCCAAGAGGTCACTCGATTTACCCTCCTCACTGATGCTGTGATGGGCTCAGTCCTGGCCTGTGTGGCCCCTACAGACCTTTCCCTCCACCAACACGGCAACCACGTACCAGTGCATCCTCTGATCTCCTCAATGTCTTTCTATTGATTCTAGATTTTTTGCATGAGCCTGTAATTCCTCTAGAACCAGCAATGAGCAGGGAATATAGCTTTTGGAAACTGAAATCAAAGACTCAGTTCCTACCACCTGACCCCCGAGTTCCAAGACATACAGGAATCACAACCCCAGTGACCCCTGTCCTGGTCCCCATCTTCCCAAACGGCTGCCTCCTAGAGGGAGATCCCCCGGGCAGGACAGAGGTCTGGATGCTGCGCGCTTCCCCAGGGCCTGGATGTTATGCGGAAGCGATGCCCAGAAAGCCACATAGTACAGCTAGGGCAGAACCAGGTTGCTCCTCTCTGCTCCGAGCTTCCAAGTCCAGACTGTCACCCCTCAGCCCCAGGCCCCTATCCTGATCTTCCTGGCTGGGCCCCGGGCCATACCCCTTTCCCAAAGCCCCACATTCCATTTCCCCAGCCCCCATCCCCAACCTGGGCCTTTTGCCCTAAGGCCCCTCTGCCCCTGGCCCTTGTCCCTTCACCACGTACCCCAGCGTGGGCTCCGAGCCTGCACTCTTGGTAGCACCCTTGTTCGACATTCTGCCTCCAGATGTCCAGCTCTGCTCTTGCCCTACTCACCCCTGCCTCTGCCTCTGCCTCTGCCTCTGCCGATCCCCTGATCCTCCGGGAGCCTGCCCCACCAGACTTCCAGCCCACGCCTGGCAGGGGTGTTTCCCCACATCTACTCTCTCCCATGCCCAGAGCTGCCCTGTTCTCACAACCTCCTTGGCACAGCCAGCAGGGGAGCAGGTAGGCTGGGCTGGGTGAAGCTGCTCTGAGTGGCAGCTGGAGGGGTGGCAGGGAGTTACCAGTGAGGAGAAAAATCCCCCAGAAGATAACAATATGCACACCAGCTGGATCCTGGCAGCAACTGCTGCCTCCTGGAGGAACCCCTCATAGGCACCTGCACTAAATCTCTACTCCTCCACCCCCACCTTAGAGTGTCTGGTCCAGATGAGGGCCTGTGACCAGGAGAAAGGGGGACAGATGTGGCGCCTCCATGGGCAGGGGCCTCACTCCATGGTTGAGATTCACTCAGTTCTTTGTTTATTCTCCTCCTTATTGTGTGACTGCTGGGAGGTTCCTTAAACTCTCTGAACCCCTCTGAGGCATGAGCAGGATGAAAGTGACCTGGCTACTGAGAGGATTGCATGGACAGAGAATACACAGGCCATAGCTCGAGGCACAAAATCAGTACCACTCAAGCTTGGCTACTAATGTTCCATGGGCACTGAGTGCCTCCGAGGTCCTGGGAAGCAGAAGACCCCCACCATGCTGTCCCTCCGTGGTAGTCTGACACTGTCCCCATCCCTCCCTGAGCCAGATGCCATGCCCATCCCACACTGAGGTCCACACAGAGGGTTTCTTGGCAGGAACATTGGTGTTCCTGTGTGGCCTGGCAGGACTTCTGAGATAATCCTTGGTTGTGACTGGAGCTGGGCCAGTGGGAGCCACAGACTACCACAAACCCTTCACCCTAAATATTTGGTAACTTCAGACGTAAATGCTAATGTGACACCAGCAAAGGAACGTGGGGATATGGAATAGAGCAATGCTGGCATGACCCATTTAAGAGCAGCAGACAGATCCTGGCTGCTGAGGAGGCCCATGTTTCCCACTGGGGAGCTGACACCTCTCCACAGATAGATTGCGTGGTACTTAAATTCTATCTCAATAAAGCTGTGCTTTAAAGAGAACTAAACTGACAAGAAAACTAGATAGTTTATAGATAAATAAAAATATGCTCAACCTCAATAGCGACTTGTAAAATGTAAAGTGAATCATTATCAGATTCCTGATCATACCCTTTGTATTAGTTTCTTGTGGCCGGTGTAACAATTTACAGAAAGGAAGTGGCTGAAATAACAGGAACTTACTCTTTCACAATTCTAAAGACAGGGCCCCAAAATCAAGGTATAGACAGGTCTGTGCTCCCTCTGCAGGCTCCAGGGGAGCTTCCTTCCTGCGTCTTCCAACTAAGGGGGCTGCTGGCTATCCTTGGCTTGTGGCCACATCTCTCTGACTCCTGCCTCTCTCTTCTCAGGGATACATCTATTCTCTTGCCTCACTTGAAAGTATTTGATCCACCCTCAGCCTGCAGGGGCCAACCCAGTTGCTCTCTCTCCATGGTCTGCTAACCATCTTGCATGGCTAGTGGCTTGTCTAGCACTGCCTCCCCTATGGGCTGAGCACTCTGAAGTAGGGAGGGTACATTTAAGCACTTGCAAAGACTTTTTCTAAACAAGGTCACATTCACACTTTCTGAGTGTAGGAGGTGATCTTATCTTCAGGAGCTATTAGGCTACAACAGGGAACAACAGTCACCTACTCTGCCACCCCTGGGGAATACTGGACTACGATTTCCAAAAAAATGAAGACATCAACAAATATTTGCTAAGCACCAAATGGCACTGGTCCCTACTTCAGAATGTCCAGCCCACAGGGGAGGCAGTACTAGACCAGCCACCAGCCATGCAAGATGGTTAGCAGACCACGGAGAGACAGCAGCTGAGCTGGCCCCTGCAGGTTAAGGGTGGATCAAATACTTGCAAGTGAGGCAAGAGTGTCTGTTCCTGGCAGACAGGAAGTAGAGGCAAGTCTCAGGGCAGGAGGCAGTTACTGGAGGCTGCCCTCCCCTGAACCAGGAAAGGCAGGGGACAGCCTAGGAACACCTTGTTGGTAGGGTAAGGTATTAGGATTAGATTCCAAGAGCAAAGCGAAGCCATGGGGTGGCTTCAAGCACATGGCGCTGTCCCTAACTCCATGTTTCCTTCTGCCCTCCACCGGGACAAGCAGACAGAGCCACCTTGGCACAGGAGCAAGGAATTTGATTCTTATGCTCGGGCACAAGGAAGAAAGCAATGGGGACAGGAGCCACAGGCTGACCCAAAGGGCAAAGCTGCACAGCTTTGGCGCCATGTCTGGCGTAGGGAGGGACTGGTGTCATGACGTCAGCACAGGCAGAGGTAGAGTTTTAGCTGCCCCCAAAGGCTTCACCGCCACTCCTCTTCACGGGTCCGTCTCCATCTTCAGTCTACTCAGGCGTGGCTTTCACTGTGATAATAAAATAAAGGCAACTGTAGGTTCCTTTAGGGACCGTCCTACAATGCATTTATCCTTGCCACCTGGAATTTGCCCCTCTCATCTCGGAGAGTCCCCAGCTGGGTTTGGGAGCAGGGCAGACCACTCCCACCTCAGCGGTTTGGTCTTAATGAGTTTGTGTCCGGCTTCTTGGTATCTGTGCCATCAGCAGTCTCTGAACGCTGAGCTGACTCCATCCTCCCACCTCCTGCAGTGCTGCCTGAATTTCGTAGCTTTCAGGAGTGGTCCATTTTTTTCAACTCTCAGTTTTCCAGTATGTTTGTTCCACTGTGAGGCAGAGGCCCAGCTCAGCTGTTTCAGCACCTCAGGGTTCCCTTTGGGATGGCTTGGATGAGCTGGCAGGAGACTTAGGCGCCTCCTGGGCCAGTCCAGGCCTGGCAGTCGGGCGAGCGTGCCTGCCATCCTGCGGCTGGCGTGGGCCTATGAAAAGCTTTCCCGGCAGAACATCAAGGATTGGGTTGGGTTGGGGGCCAGGTGAGGGCCAAGAACAGGGAGGAGTCGGGGGGCTGTGTGGGCTTCGCTGGAGCTAAGGGTGGGTGCCATGTCCTGCAGCGCCAGCTCTGTGCTGTGGGAGGTGGAGACTCCAAGTCCCGTCTGGATAGAGGTGTCAGCAAGATGTGCCCAGAGCGTCACAGAGAAGGTTCTGGGGACAGGAGTCCAGGGCCCAGGGTCAAGGCCAGGTAGGGATGGATTTGGGGATTATTTCACACGTCGTCTTTAGACTCACAGGACTGGAGGAGATTGCCAGAGTGCCTGGAGGGAGTCGAGAGGACTGGCGGCCTAGGAGGCAGGAGGGCGGGCACAGACCATGAACAGGGCAGCCAGGGACACAGCGAGGCAGGACTAGTGACCTAGGCAAGTGTTGCTGGAGGAGAAAGGTCGGGGGGAAGCCACACCAGAGTTGGTGGGGGCGAAGGGGCCCACAGCCAGGGAGGCTGCTGCTGTGCACACCCACTGTCATAAAGCCTGGCTCGTGTGGCCCTGTGGAAAGGCAGGCTGCCATCCGCAGGGCCAGGTGACCGGCATCGTCCTTCCTCTGTGCACTCCACGCCGCAGCTGCTGCTGGTCTGAGGGCAGCACTTGTAGGGAGGACACTGGGGCCGGGCACATAGGGCTGTCCTGTGCATCACAGGATGCTTAGGAGTCTGACTCACCACCTCCAAAGGCCCCTAAGCCCCTGGACAACAGCCCAGGGCCACCCTGGGCGGAAACCATGCTTCACCCAGCTGGTGTCCCACATGGACACCTCTTCTCAGCCCTGCTGAAACCATGGGTGAGGGCTGGGGAATCATAGCGTCTGAAAATCCCAGACCCGTTAGACCCTGATCCGTGGAAATGTACACTCTTGATCCAATATGAGATGCTCTGATTTCCAAAATATGGAGAACCTTAGGATCTGGGACACAGGAAATCTCTTTTTTGTTATAATGCAATATTTTAGGCATACAATAGTTTGAAGGATAACATAAATACTCATGTGGGCAACAACCTTGTCAGACCTTAATGTTTGCCTTGAATTATGTTTTTAAAAATGCAATATGTTGTTATCTTCTGTGCCTTTGTGCCCCAATTCCTGCCTCTTACCTCCTCCTCTTCCTCATACTGAGATGTTTAGCACCTCTGGAATGTCTGACTGTCTTGTTATGTGTGAGTTATCAGGGCATTATAAGATTATTTTGCATCTTTTCAATTTATTTTATATGCTGGGACTCAAACCCAGGACCATGTGCATGCTAAGTAGGCAGTGTGCCACTGAGCTGTACCTCCAGGCCCACATTTCGCCTCTTTTTGAAACTTAAGCAAGTGCTATAATCCCAACACTCTAAGAGGGTGAGGATGATGAAAACTTCAAGCCTAGCTTGAACAACTTAGTGAGATCTCGTCTCAAAATGTATTTATTTTTATTTATATATTTTTGTTTTTTTCAGACAAGGTCTTGCTGTGTAGTTCAGACTGGTCTTGAATTTACTAAGTGGCCTAGGCTGGCCTCACACTCGCAGTGAGCCTTCTGCCCCAGCCTCCTGAGTGCTGGGGTTATAGGCGTGCACCACCATGTCCAGCTGTCTCAAAATTCTATTAAAAAATTTTTTTAAAGGGCTGGGTATGTAGCTCAGTGCAAAATAAAACAATATAAACACCAAACACCTTAAGCAATTAGTGTCCTATTCCACTTCCTTTCTGTAACTTGCCTTCACTCTTGACATTATGTTTTTGAGGTTTACTGGCCCTATAATGTACTTATTCAGTGGAGTTAGCATATCTCGCTCTACTGCTGCTGGGTATGTGGGGAGTTCTACCTTTTAGGAGCTTACAAATGATCTGGGGAGGAGGGCTGAGTGTGCCTGTTTGTGCAGGGTGCCTGAGTGTCTAGGGTTATCTGAGAATGGGTCAGGTGTGTAACCTGCTTTCCCACCTTTCCCAGGCATTGCTGTATGCGGTGTGGTGCTGCTACTGAAGACATCGATCATTACAGCTCCAGCACTACGGGCTGGGGATTTAGCTCTGTGGCACAGCACTTGCCTGGCAAGCGCAAG